AATATAAAATGACAGTACATCCCATAGTTGTCTCCCACAGTAGGAGCACCGTTCCAGAACTTTTCTGTATTCCAGAGAGAACTGACACTGATCCAGAGACACGACTTGGACTCGCGTGATGAGTGTGTTCCCAGTGCCTTGGTTTGGGGCCTCACACCATCTTGTCCCTGGGTGTTTCGAGGCTCAAGGTCTTCCTCTTACCCAGCGGAGGAGACTTCCGCCTTCCCTTTCCCCATCCAACTGAAGCTGCTGATATCCTGGGGCCCTGGCCAGGTCTCACTTCACCCATCTCACACGTGTTTCTTTTGGATTGGCCAAAGTGAGATTCAGTCAGGACTTTCCACTGTCTGGATCTTGTCTGACCAACCCTGGCCTGTTCCCCTCAGGCACTGGCATTCTTTTTTTCTCCTACAGAAGTAATACATATACACTATAAAAATTCAGAGAATGTAGATAAAAGAAAAGAAAGCAATTTTCCATGATATCGCCACTGTTACTTTAATATATATTCTTACCAGTTCTTTTGTCTCTCTGTGTCTGCTTTCTGCCATTTTACATAAATNTTTCCGGTCACATCCAAGCCAAGCCATCTGGATAGGGGGCTTTGGGCTGTGGCTGGCGGTGAGGAAGGGCTGAGGTGCCCAAGACGTTCTTTAACTGGCTGGTGGCTGGCCCTTCTCCTTGTCCCCAATCCTCCTCCCCTCCTCCTTGCCTGTGCCAGGAGGGCAAGCTAATTTTAGTCCAGCGAGGGCAACAGCAGCTGGCCTCCAGAGTCTAGTTACTCCTTGAAGTGCAGTGGGGAGGAGGGTCTCAGAGGAAGATGATAGCTCCAAAGCAGAACCCCTCTCTGAGAGGCTGGGGTCTCTCTAACTCTGGCCTGTCATCTTCTGCCCTTTCTCGTCACCCTTGGAGCTCGAGGCCCTGGAGGCCTCCTATCTTCCAAAGGAGCCTTTCTCCTCTCACTGGCAGAAGGGTTTGGCCAGGCTTCCAGCCCGTCCCTAACACTGGTTTACTGGGGTGACTCACTCTGGCCCTCAGGGTCCCCATCTCTACCAAGCTAAGGTAAACGCAAGCTAAGACCCCCCCCCACACACACACACACATACACACACAGTTCTATGACCAATACAGCTGGAGGTCTCAGAAGGTCTGCAGGAAATCGGCACGCCTTGAGGGTCAACACCTGGATCATCTCAGCCCTGCCTTCCAAGAGAAGTCCAAAGCTTTCTTCCCAGGCTGCCTCCTTGACACCTGGGTTTCAGGAACGTTCACATTCCACCTTCAGACATCCAAGTTACTGCCCCACAGAGCACCCAGATTTGGCCTGAAAGAGGCCCAGAAGTCCCTTCTTGTCCTTACCATGGTTCCTAGTCACAGGGGCTCCACTGCGGCAGGTTACCTCCTCTGCACTCCACCACCCAAAGATGCCCTGGCCCTCTCCAGGCCCTGGGATTTGTAGGGGCACCCTCTCCTCCCACCTCCCTGCTCCCCAGAACTGGATGCCCTGGCCAATCAGATCCTGGGGTCAGTGAACCCCCCTCCTCCCAGAGTCCTAGCCCATTGCCTAATTTAGCCACGGGCCCTTGCAGAGAAATTGAAGCCTCGGAGCAGGTGGCAGGCCTTGACGTCCTAGATTCTTATGAGGAGAACCCGCCCTGCTCCACCACCTTAGCGAGCCTCCTCCAAGAAGCACACTTGCTCCAAGATGGGTAAGAACAATCAGAATAGAGAAAAGTGAGGCTCCATGGTGGAATGGGGAGAGCCCAGATCTTGAAATCCCAAACCCAAGATCTAAGTCCTGCCTCTGCAGGCTACGTAACCTTGGGCAGGTGGCAATGCTGCTGTGAGCTGCAGCTTCCGTATCTGTAAGATGGGGATGGTTATAACCTCCCTCATAGAGAGACTGTGGTACACAGGAACCCAGGTGTAAGGTACCTCACTTGTGCCAGCTACACAGTGTTGATGCTTGGCAAGTGGAATGTCCTGTCTTTGAAGCATGGTAAGGGGCAGGGAACCGGAGGAGCGGAAAGTGACAGCCACAGTTATTAAAAAGCTACCACGCGCGCACACACTGTACTAAGCATTTTAACCACATGATCTCACCTAGTACTCATCCTTTGAGGTGGCAACTATTATTATTTCCTTTTTATTGGGGATCTTTGTACATCATAAAAGTCTACAGTCATATGGGTGATTTGTATTAATCCTGACTGAGGGGAAGTTGGGACAGACACTTCTTGGGGGACCCATCCAGAAGGAGAAATGTGTGCAGGAGTACAGGAAACAGGGTGTGCACTTGGAGGAGAAATCAACATTGAAAGCAGATTCTTCTCTCAAGTTTACCTTCTCCAGGGAAAAGATTTTGGGGATTCACTTTTTGGGGGAGGAAGGGGACCAGAGGAAGTTTCTCTAAGTAGGTAAAGGGGCAGCTGGCCTGTTGCTAGAGCTTGGTGAAGAAGTCTGGATGTGTTCAGCTGACCATCTGGAGAGTGAAGGGGTGGGCAGAGCAAGTCAAGTGTGAAGGGGGCCCAGCCTGAGAATCCACAGGGTCCAGCCTGGGTGCTGGGAGGTAGGCAGCGCTCATGACAATGGCTAAGGCAACAGAAAGAGCTCTGAGACAACTGAGCACAGAGTCTGGGGCCAGTGAAAGGGGTTGGACACCAAGGTAGGCAGATGGACAGTGGCAACTGGGCTGCCTTCTTCCGCTATATATAGACATTCCCAAGGAAAGCTCAGAGGAGCCAGGCCAGGCTAAATAAGGCCTCCCCTAGTCAGACCGAGGGCCAAGGGGCGACGACACTCAGGGGATTCCAATTTGGACACAAACATTGGAGCCACTTGATCCCTTTGGAACAGAGTGTGGAACTCTCAGCAATCTTTTGTTCATTAATTTGTTCAGGGAAATAAATAAGGTCCAAATTCAGTGTGGCCAAGCAAGGTCCCACTGACCCCTCCAGTCTCACTCCCCTTCCCTCCCCACCTTGCATGTTGCTTTGCTTTGGTCCAACGAAAATACAGTTCCAAACGCCACCCTTTACAGCCTCCAGGCCTTTACACGTGCTGGCTTTTCTGCCCAGAACTCCCATCTTCCTGCTCTTCATCTGCCTACTTCTCTCTCTTTCTCAACTTTAACACCACTTCATCCAGGCTCCCTCCTCCCCTACACCCAGGCCAAGAGAGTCCAACGGGGTCTCCAGTGGTTTCCTCAATCGGAGCACTGCGCATAGCACGTGATCACAGTCTGATTTGAGTTCCACAGACCAGAGACGGTTTCCTATCCATCACTGCATTCCCCAGGACCCAGCACTTGGCACTTAGCAAGTGTTCAATCAATAGTGTGTTCTTTGTAAGGATAACCTGAACTGAGTGGCGACTGGTTCCATACAAGGAGGAAGTTCTTAGTTCTGAGTCACGGTTGAACACTAACAGGTTTGGGTAGCCTCAGGAGGTAATGAGCTTCTTGTCACTGAATGTATGCAAGCAGGAATTTGATGACCGTCTCTCAGGGAGGCTGTGGGAAGATATCCATACAGAGTCTAAGAGTAGTGGAATGCTAGACATCAGGAGATCTCCTCGTTCTGGCCCTGTTTGTATGACCCAGGGTAAGCCCCTTCTGCTCACTGAGCCTCAGACTACCCATCTGGAAAATGGAAGTGCTAGACCGGATTTCTGAGTGACCCTCCCACTCTGACAACCCATGGTTTTATGAATACCTGCTTTGTACCCAGACTTGTGAGGCATATGCCAAAGTACAAGTTAATATTCAGCCAATGTTTGAATGAGTGAGTGTTGCATGAATGAATGAATGAGATGTCTTTTTTTGCCCCAACACCCTGCGGGTAAGCTGAATGAAGAGTAGTTAGAGCTTCGAAATGACACAGACTTGGCCTTAATTCCAAGCTCCCCTATTTCCTAGCTGTGGATTTGGGGAAAGTCAATTTGCTTCAGTGTCTTCATCTTGAAAATGGACCGTTATTGTCCAATAACAACCCCCTTCCCCAGGATGTTGTGAGGATGAGATGGTGACCCCACGTAAAGTGCCTAGAACAGGATGTACACCGAACCTCAATGGAACCTTAAGAAATGAGAGCTGCGCCCCTTCTGCACGTGGGAGGGCAGGGAATGTGTTTTCCATTCAAAGCTATTTCCCCCTACCCCTCTCTCCTGTGCCATTCAAAATGGGTAGGAGCTACTGTCAGAGAGATTTGATTTGTTCGAGGGTATAACTAGCACTATCTGCTCTGTTTAGGGACCGATATCTGGGCCTTCTGATAGGAAGCTACAGTAAATTCTTCTTGACCTGATGCTGCCCTCCCCATCATAAAACACAGCCCTCTGGAGGAGTTGCTGAGATTAGCAGGCCTGCTGCTTGGGAAAAGAACAGGAAAAGAACTAAGGAGACCTGGGCTGCCAGGCCCCATACTCAGAAACCTCTTGGCAAACTGTGTGACTATGGGCAAGTAACTCGGTCTCTCTGGGTCTCAGTTTACCCGTTTGCCTACTTCCTATAGGTGAGGCTCAAGTGAAATTGCAAAAGCCTGTGAACACTGTAGAAACAGTAATCATGTAACCGAGCATTTTGTAAGTCCCTGCTCTGTGCCAGGCACTGGATTAGGGTCCTTACAAAAGCTGCAAAATTAGTACTACTAGTAATTGTTCCTCTTTTTTACATGAGAAAACCTAGGCTCAGCGAGGTCACATTCCAACCCACATCACGGGTCTTCTCTTGGCCTTAGTCTTCTCACCAGAACGATGGGTTTCCCATTGCCACATAATGACTTCGGAGAGTTCAAGAGTGCTGGATGGAAACTGGGGGCTATATTGGGTCCAGCCTGCGTCTCCGGGAGGGGTGAGAGGACTCAAGGAGGGTGTGAGCCCCGCCGGATTGGGGGCGATCCCGCAGGAGGCCTGGTGCTCGCCCAGGCCTACCCAGGATTCCCAAGTCTCTCCTGGAGCAAAGGGCCCGGGATTCCCGGGCGGCTCCGGGGAGCGGGCGGGGCTGGGGGCGGGGCGGCGGCAGGAAGCGGCAGGAGCGGCGCCCCGAGCTGCTGGGCCCGGCAGAGCCGGGCCGGCCTCTGTAAACCGCCGGGGGCTGCACCGGGACCCCTAGGCAGCGGCGCACCCCCGAGTGCACGGCTGGTCGCAGGAGGTTGAGACGCGACACGGGCGAAAGAGACGTGGGTAGTAGAGTCCCAGGTCCTCCCGGGAAGTGCGCAGCCCCAAGATGTGCGGGTGAGGGGAGGGCGACTCGAGCAGTCCCGTGGCTCTCAGGACCCCAATGGGCGGGGGCGGGGCCTCCGCGGCGCCCCTCCCTCCCCCAACCCGGGCCCCTCCCGATCGGGGCCCGGGTCTTCCGCCGAGGCTCAGGACCCACAGTCTCGCACTCCCCCCAGGGTGCCATGGCTTCGAGGCTCCTGCACCGGCTGCGCCACGCCCTGGCCGGTGAGGGCCCCGGGGAGGCGGCGGCCGGCCCCGAGGTCGAGCAGTTCCCGGAGAGCTCGGAGCTGGAGGACGACGACGCCGAGGGCCTGTCCTCCCGTCTCAGCGGCACCCTTAGCTTCACCAGCGCCGAGGATGAGGACGACGAAGACGACGAGGACGACGAGGAGGACGGCCCCGACCCGCTGCCCCCTGGGGACGAGGCGTCGGGAGAAGACGCAGGCGAGTGCGGAGGACGAAGGCGGGAACCTTGGGAGCTCCATTAGGCCTCCACCTCAGCCACGTTCCTGAGATAATCAGGGGGCTCTGAGTTGATCCTGCCCAAACTCCGAAATTCTGACACTTTAAAGTGTCCCAGCCACCTCTTAGCTGTGTGACCTTGAGTCACACCTTTTGAGCCAAGTTCTTCCTTGTGTCAAGTGGGGGAAATCACTCCCATCTCAGGGCTGTTGCAGACATTCAGTGTACAGAGTCAGGGATACAAAATGGTAATGTGCTAGGGATGTTTTGGGGGTACAGATATTTATTTAGTGCCTGCTGTTTGCCAGGCACCGAAGTCTGGCATCTGGCCTCTCTCGGGCCCTCAGTTTCCACTTATGACAAATGGGGATAAAGCTATGTCACCTGTTGGGAGGATGAGTGAGGTCATGGAACATGGTTTATGTGACCCTGGCCCCAGGCCCATTGATGTGACTGGTCCTGTACTCATGCAGAACAGAACCCCCAACCTGATGGACAGCGGGGTAGTCAGCTCCTGGCACGGCAATTGCAGGATTTCTGGAAGAAATCCCGGAACACCCTGGTACCCCAGCGGCTGCTCTTCGAAGTGACCAGCGCCAATGTGGTCAAGGACCCCCCCTCCAAGTACGTGGTGAGTGCGAGCCCAGGAACCCCTGGGCTGTGAGTCTACAAGTCTAGCTAAGAGAAAGTAGGGGAGACTCCCAACTTCCTTGGGGGGAATCTGGCTGTGTAGTTATAAATGGCTGCCCCCATTTTACAGATGGGGAAACTGAGGCCAGAAAGGGGATGTAACTTGAACAAGTCCTCAGGCAATGACAGCTTCTCTGAGACGGAGTAAAGAAAGGATTATGGACCTGCCTCCTATCCTGGTTTTGAGAATAAGAAAACTGGTGTGTGTGCCCCCACTTGCCTTGCCTCCCAGGGCTTCGCAAATTGTAGCAAGATGCAAGATATACCGGAAAGAATATTATCTGGATCAGACTTGAGACTCAAGTTGCCTTGGTTAGTGGTTTTAAAAAAGTGGGTTTTGGAGGCAGAACTTGGTTCAAATCCCACTTATTACCAGTTGTTTGACCTTGGGTGAGTTGTGTAGCCTTGATGACTCATTTCCTCATCTGAGAACTGGGGACAATGCAGAGGATTGTCACAGGAATTAAATGAGACAGTGCTCAGAAATGCCCTTAGCATTAGGCCTGTCATTACGAAGTCCTTGAGAAAATGTGTAAGATAAAACATAGCTCTACTGGGGGTGACCAGTTGGCTCAGCTGGTTAGAGCGCAGGCTCATAACACCAAGGTTGCTGGTTCGATTCCCACATGAGCCAGTCAGCTACGCCCCCTCCTCCCCGCCAGATTGAAAACAATGACTTGACTTGGAGCTCAGCTGCACCCTCCACAACTAGATTGAAAAAAAAAACCACCAGCTTTATTATTATTATAATACTTAGCTCTGCATTGGAAATGCCTGGCTGTTGTGGCCTCCTTACAACCCAGGTGAATCAATTCTCAAGCACCCACCCTGTACAGAATAATCTTGTTCCAGGGGCTCCATTTAGGGACTGGGGGAGAAGAGCAATGTGGGGGAGGGCCTGGAAGTTCATTTTCGTAGCTGTGGAAAGGAGAAGCTGACATGGAAAATGAGATCTGCCAGGTCCTGCTCCTGGCCAGGCCTGAAACTCAGCCTGACCTGGCTAGTCCAGGCAGCGGCAGCTCTCTGCCGTTCACTTCCCTCCTCTTCACTACCCTCCTCCATTTCTGACTCAGCAGGAAGGGGGCCTGGAGCCCAGTGCCACATCTGGGCCTCTCCACCCCTCTGCTGCTGTTAGCAAACAAGGGCCGCACCCACCGGGTGACTGCTTCAATTTGAGCAGGGATTGAGTGATCAATGGAGTTTTCAGTGGCGAAAGCCCTGGCCAGGCGTCGTGCACAGGAAGGGGACCCCAAGGATCGGTTATCAGGGAGCAGCTGGGAAACAGGAAGTATGGGGGTGACGCTGGGAAAAGAATGACAAGATAGAGCAGGATGGCCAAGTAGTTCCTGGACGGTGTCTACGGAAACACATTACCTCCTTTGTCCTTACTGAACTCTTCCTGGGGGCGAAGAACACAGGCTTGTGAACTACCTTGGCCTGGGTTGGAATCCCAGCCGGGCCATTTCCCAGCTGTGTCCCTTAGGAGATGACTTTGAAACCTCTGCCCCCTCTTTGAGCCTGCCTCCTCAGCACTGCAAGGAAAGGACACTTTCCTTGTAGTGCTGTTGTGATGATTGAATGAAACATGTCAAGTGCTCAGCACAGTGTAGGTGCTCAGTTAATGGAGCTACTAATACCTATCTTGGCAGGACATTATAAGGATCAGATGAGATAATGGATATAAAATGGTTTGGGGCCAAAAAATTAAAAATAAAAGCCAGATGAACATAAGGAGGTCATTATAGACCATTTCTTCTTGCTGTATGCTCTACAGAAAATTGGTTTCCTGGAATGTTAATAACTACTTTAAAAACAAAAAAGATTTTGCAGTTAATATGTTTTGGGAATGCAGAGTTGAACGAGAGTAAAGTAAGTTTCTTTACTATTTAACTTTGAATCCTTAATATTAATGTACACTGTGAATGTTTGAGAGAAGGAGGATACAGTACACAAATCTAATTGACCAGGAGTGGCTGTAATACTAGCAGTTTCACAGAATGAATTCAAGAGGAAAATCTGGGTTTGATGTTAGTGTGCATTTAACATCTAACGCTTGCTAAACCCCCTTTTAAACTGCTTGCTCAGTATTCTTATATGAGGTATGATCAAACAACACGGTTGAATGTTTATTATTGTAAAAGACACATTGCCATCAATCCCCCTCAAAACACTGCCCCTCACTTCAAACACACTTATCGCATCATTCCTGCCACTTTCTGAAGCAGTTCTGGAAGTCCTCTTTCGTGAGTGTCTTTAGTTGTGCTGTCATGGCTGCCTCGATGTCCTGAATCATTCTGACTTCAGGAAAGAGCCAGAAGTTGCATGGTGCCAGATCCAGTGAATAAGGTGAATGATGACACACCGTAATGTTTTTATTTAACAGAAATTGCCTTATACTAGAAGCGATGTGTGACACAGAGCGTTGTCATGATGGATGGTTTATGGCACACTTTAAAACACACCTTCTCTCAACTGTAGATCACATCCGACTGACTGCACTGAACAAGTTGAAACTTGTTACTAAGGTTTGACGCACCGTTTCCCATATTGCGGATCCCTGCCTTTCCGTTGAATGGCACTCAGGAGCAACATTCACTGTATCTATTGACCACAACGGAAAGGCTCCATGTCACACATTACTTCTGGCATGGCAATTTCTGTCAAATAAAAACATTATGGTGTGTCCTCATCCACCTTATTCACCAGATCTGGCACTATGCGACTTCTGGCTCTTCCCCAAAGTCAAAATGACCATGAAAGGTAAACGTTTTGAATCGATTTAGGATGTCGAGGCAGCCACGACAACACAACTAGACACTCACCCAGGGCCAGCCAAGTGGCATGTTGGTTAGAGTTGGCTTGGGACGCCAGCTCAAGCAGCAGGGCCCTGGTTTGGATCCCACATGTGGGCTAGTGATGCTGCACCCTTTATAGCTAAGATGGTGAACAACAGCTTGACCTGGAGCTGGGCTGCGGTGAGTCGCAGGCGACGGCATAGGCTGCAGTGGGGCTGGCCGGCAGCTGGCGTGCGCTTTCGAGAGCTGCCGAGAGCGGCCATCCAATGGCTGGCGAGCGGCTGCCTCACCCAGGAAGAGCACAATGATCACAATATCAACATAGGCCAGTGAAGCGACGTCCTCCACAACTAGACTGAAGAACAAAAGGACAGCAGCTTGTCTGTTCCCCTTCCCCGACTCCCCAAGACTGTTCCCCTCCCCCAATTCCCCAATAAAATCTTAAAAAAAAAAAGACACAAAAGAGGACTTACAGAACTGCTTCAGAAAATGGCAAGAATAATGGGATAAGTGTGTTTGAAGCGAGGGGGAATGTTTTGAGGGGGATTAATGACAATGTGTCTTTAACTGTAATAATTTTTTTTAATTTAAACATTCGCTGAATTTTAATTAATCCATATTTGGGTTCTCATACTTGGGGGAAGCTTCACCGTTATCTTGTTCAGTGTTTCCAAAACGTGGTCATTCCAGTACCACCTTCACAATTCTTGTCCCATCCAAATGCTATTTGTACCATTCTTTGCTTAACGTTTACCTTTAAATAAACCGTTTTTGTTTTGGTTTTGGCTTAAGTGTAAAAGACAACTTTATAGCACTACCGTACGTGAAAAGCCCCACTTGCCGTAAAGAGAAGATAACCATAAAAATCAAAGCAGTGGAATGAAAGTGTTCTTAAACCCTGCCTGGATGCTGTTTGTTGCTTGAGGGCCCTGACCCGAGATCGTGTTGGCTCTTTTCTAAAAATGGAGCCGAAGTGTTGGAGAAGTGCTTTTTAAAACAAAAACAAAACAAAAACCTGAGAGCGTCTCAGTTTGCAGACAGGAAGCCTCAAAGATAATCAAGGGAGAATGACCTCCTGCCCCTGATTCAGTGCTCTTTACTCAAGCACATGCCACCTAAAAATCTCAGCACCAACATCTGGACACGTTCCACACCTGAGTGAACACTAACCTGGGCCAACACTTCATTCCCTCGAGAAGGAAGCAGACCTGAGATGGGGACTGCCTGGCCTGATGTCACACAGTGAGGGAGTACTGACCTGAGGTTAAAACTTGAGTCAGAGTCCAGTGTACTTTTCACACTGATCGTTCCTGGGGTGTCTGATGACCCACCCTCCGGGTCTGGATTGGAATAACCTGGCTAAGGATGTAGGGGGGCTGTGTCTAGAGTAGAACTTGGATTCTCAAGTTTGGCTCAGAGGCCCGAGAGACTGGCCTGGGCTTCAGCTCACCCCTGGTTTTCCAGCGGGGCTGGACAATGGGAAGGGAGTACTTTCTGGAAGGGGCCAAAGGCCAGTGGCTCCAGGCACTGAAGCTCATCTCTGTTTCTTTCCCCGTGCTGCCTTGGGCCCGGGTCATTTCAGACGAGCCTCAGGTAAGATGGGACTGGGCTCCCTAGCTGCTGCTCCAGCAGCCCCCACCCTCCTGGGCCGTCTCGGGGTGAAGGGATGAGGTGGGGGAACAGAGCTGGAAGTGTGGGTGTGGGGAGGGAAGGGACCCCTGGACCACTGGCGCCTGCCCTGACCCCCACCCTCCCTGCAGCTCTACACCCTCGCCGTGATGGGTCCAGGGCCACCAGATCGCCAGCCAGCCCAGATCTCTCGCCGCTACTCGGACTTTGAGCGGTTGCACCGAAACCTGCAGCGGCAGTTCCGGGGACCCATGGCTGCCATCTCCTTCCCCCGTAAGCGCCTGCGCCGGAATTTCACTGCGGAGACCATTGCCCGCCGCAGCCGGGCCTTCGAGCAGTTTTTAAGCCACCTGCAGGCAGTCCCCGAACTGCGCCATGCCCCAGACCTGCAGGACTTCTTCGTGCTGCCTGAGCTGCGGCGGGCACAGAGCCTCACCTGCACTGGCCTCTATCGTGAGGCTCTGGCACTCTGGGCCAATGCCTGGCAGCTGCAGGCCCAGCTGGGCACCCCGTCAGGCCCAGATCGCCCTCTGCTGACTCTGGCTGGCCTGGCTGTATGCCACCAGGAGTTGGAGGACCCTGGGGAGGCCCGGGCATGCTGTGAGAGGGCCTTACAGCTGATGGGCGACAAAAGCCCCCATCCTTTGTTGGCACCTTTTCTAGATGCCCATGTCCGACTCTCCTGGCGCCTGGGCCTGGACAAACGCCAGTCAGAGGCCCGGCTCCAGGCCCTGCAGGAGGCAGGCCTGACCCCCACGCCACCCCCAAGTCTCAAAGAATTGCTCATCAAGGAGGTACTGGACTAACCCTGCCTAGACTTAAGGCCACCGTGGGGAGATGCACTGCCCAAGGATGGCCAGCGGGTGGGCTGGGGAGCTGACGAGGACCCAGACAGCAGTTGGGAAGCTGTAGGGGGTGCTGAGAATCCCTAGAAGTTCTACAAATAATTTGTAGCAGACCCAGGAAACATGGTTCTCCTGTTGAGCTAGGCACAGGACCAGCTTTGGCTGGGGATTCCTGGGCTGGTACAGGGAGGAAGCTTGATGCAGCCTCTCCAGCTTATGAACAGCTAGGGGCTATGCTCCAGGTCAGGGTTCGTGTTCTCTTTCCCTTGGGCCTCTGAGCCAGTGAGGCAGCCTGGCCGAAGGGCCAGGGACTCTGCCTCTGGAGTCCCGGAGTTGATGGCTGGATAGAGGGCTGCAGTTCTGGCCCAGGAGAATTAAACGCCAGTGGCTCCAGTTGTATCAGTCTCTTTATTGGATGTGAGGGACGGAAGGCCCCACCCTCCATTGTAACTCCTGCCTCAGGAGTAGGGGTAAAGGGAGATCCATGAAGCCGCAGGCCAAGCTGGTCCCTCTGGCTACAGCTTGCTCTCTGAGACCCGGGGCTTTGCTCGGATCACACCCTCCTGGGAGCAGGATACAGCCAGGACCCCGTCCCGACGCCACAGCTGCCCATGTACCAGCGCCCGGGAGCCACCTATGGGTGAGGAAAAGGGTAAAAACGGCCTTTTCTCTCCTTTGGCACAGCCAATTGTGCTTCTTGAAAAGGGTGCAATCCAGGTTGGGCTGCCCCGTACAGAGGACACACTGAGTGTTCTGGTCACTCCCAATCTCCAAGTGCCTCTTTATGAGCCTAGTATGGTCAGTCATTGGGGAGTAGCTCCTCCCATGGGCTCCTGACTTGACAGTTTAAAAGCACTTTCACACATTTTCTGGCTTCCTCAAAAAGATGACAGAGGCAGGAGTTCTGAGAACAGCCTTGGTCGGTAGCTTGGTTAAGCAGATCCGCCCCATCTCTGGCCACTTGTGTTAGGAAACCCATCAGTTCTCTTTATAATAAATCGAACCAGTCCCTCCAGGCTGGTATTCTATGGAAAACACCCCCATCCCCACCCCGAGGGGACAAAGGGGCTCGGGGGAGAGGACCCAGGGCCATGAGGTCTGGCCACCCCTCCCTCCCCACTTGTGGATTTTCTCTCCCTTGCTAGCCTTGGGCCTGCGTTTGATATTTATGAAGGGACCTGCTGGTTTCCCTTCAGTAGAACTTAGTCCTCACAGTAGCCAAGTGAAGCAGGGCTTGTCCCCTTTTCCAGATGATGACTGAAGTTCACAGAGGCTCAGGAACTTGGCCTTAAGAATCTGGCCAAACCCAAACCCAAGTGTCCTAACTTGAAGGTTGTTGATCCTGTCCTGTGCCGCTCTTGGTACTTGAGAGTCTCCCTTCCCTGAGTATACAGAGTCCCTTAAGTTTTGTCACTGTTGCACAAAGCAAGGCTATTGTTTTTTTTCCGTTTGAAATGTACTTCCTTGGAAAGGAGCCCGGGGCTCTGAGACTAGACACTGATGAATGGGTCTGGGTTTCCTTCTGTCTCTGATGAGGAGTGTCCAAGTAGTGTCCTTAGAAACTGTTGAATACCCTGAATCTCAACCAGGTTAATCAGCAGCGTCACTTAGGGAGCTTATTAAAAATACAGTTTCCAAGACCTCTTCCAAGACCTGTTGAGTCAGAATCTTGGCATCTGAGAATCTGTTTTGAAAAAGGTCCCCCAGTGGTGGTCTCATGGGCCACCGGGTTCGGATACTACTGTTCTAGTGCAACCCTGTTTGTTTAGATGGGAAACTGAGGCTCGAAGAGGAGATGGGATTTACCCAAGATCATACTGAGAATCTGAAGTGGTTCTGGGACTAGACCTGGGTGTCTGAGACAAAGGAAATCATATTCCCAGCATGTTACAGAAATTAAGAGTTGAGCAAGTATCTTGTCCTCCAGTGTCACCCTGTCATTTTAAAGACAAGGATGCCGAAGCCTAGGGGGGCAGGAGAGGAAGCGACCTGTGCAGGGCCCCACAGGATGTGGGTGAGGGACAGCAGCATCCACGCAGCAGGCTCCCCGCCAGCCCAAGGTCAGTACCCTTGTCCCATGTGGCCCCACACTCACCAGCCCAGGGGCTCTTGCACTCATAGAGCATCCAGTGGTCAGCTCGGAAGGGGGCGTGGAACCACATGGAGTGGTCCAAGGAGGCCATGAAGTGCACCTTATGCTGATATTGGTGGGGCAGCAGTGCTGTGCCCAGGAAGGCGTAGTCTGAGATATAGGCAGCCACGCAGCAGTGCATCTTGATGTCGCCCTCCCCTGCAACATGTCCCAGCTGCATCAGCCCTGGGCTCATGGGCTTTACAGCTCAGGACCTGCAGGGAGGTGAGGGGAGAAAGGGCCTGCCGTGCACAGATGTGCAGACTGTTCGCTGCATGAGGGCACGTGGCCCAAGGCGTATGTGTGATGAGGGACAGGGAGGTGGGCATGGAGGGAGGGCAGGAGTGAGGACTGACATGCAGTCTTCACTCCCCAGGTTTCCCACACAGGCACCCAGGGTGAGCAGTGGACCTGGACAAGAATCTCAGCAAGATGCCTTGCCTTCCCCAGAAGGGGCCAACAGGATTGCAGCCATGTACCCATTTGCCCCATGCAAAGGCCTGACGGCCCTGGTGAGAAACTGAGTCAACTTCCCCATCACGCAGATGAGGAAATGGGCCCAGAGAGGGGAAGTAACATGCCCAAGGCCACACAGGGCAAATAAGGTACAGAAATAAGGTACAGGCCTAGGCCCCTGGAGAGTGTTTTCTTCCAATCCAGGGGTCTTCTTACCAATATGGCCCCGGGCTCGCACCCAGAACATCTGATTGGGCTCCACTTTCTGTAGCTGGTTCAGGGTGGGTGGGTTTACCAGCTTGATCTCAATGGGCACCTCCTGGGCAGCAATTCGGTTCAGCCCCACTCGGTACTTCTCGTGAAGGTTAGGGTCCCTGAAAATAAAGCGGAGAGGGGCTGGGGGAGACTCAGGGAGAGGGCAAGCCTCTCTTCGGAGCTGCCTCTCCTGACCCCCCTCATTCCTCCATAGGGACTCCTGACTTAGCCCCAAAGCTGGCAGGCAGGAGTGTCTAGTCTCTGAATCCCTTCTTTGTCTCTTATGAGCCATGTGACCTTGTGCAAGTTAGTAATCTCTCCGAGCCTATTTTCCTATCTGTAAAATATGGATGACAGTAACCTAACTCATAGTAAAAAATGGAGAAGAGAACGTAATGCATATAAAGCCGACACATCACAGTCAGGAAGCATATCTCTGATAGGCACCGTTCAGAGCATTTCACCCGTATTAACTCATTCCTCACAACAACCCTGTGACACAGGTACAATGATCACCGCCCCGCAGGGATACATGAAATAAGCGTCAAGTCCAAGACGCTTGCTCAGGAAGTGGAGATGGCAGGGTTCCGACCCAGGCAGTCTGGCTCCACGGTTCACACCCTAACCGCTTCACTGTTCCAAACACTCAGGGGGCTGTCCAACTGGGACTGAGTTCCCTAACCCTAAGCAATTAGGAACACGGTGATCCCAAGGGGCAGGAGTCCATTTCCAGGGAAGTCCCTTGGTCACCCCTGGCACTCTGCACCGGCATTTCCATTTTTATCCCTATCCTCTCGAGCACTGTCCATGGAACCTTCTGTGATGATGGAATGGTCTGTATCTGCACTGTCCACTACGGTAGCCATTAGCCACGTGTGGCTATTGAGTGAGTGCTTGAAATGTGGCTAGTGCGACTGAGGAGCAGAAATATTAATTCCATCTCATGTTAATTAATGTAATATACCCATATGTGGCTAGTGGCTTTCTTGGTGAACAGCACAGCTCTAGATTTAGGGACCTTTAAGAATAATGTCCCCTTCCATTTCAGCAAACATTTCTGAGCTCCGACTGCATGCCAGCCTCTGAGCTTACCCCTCTGTCAGTAGTGGTATAACTAGAATCTACTGAACACTCACTAAATGCCTTATTATCTCATTTAATCCTCACTGCAGCCTCATGAGGTAGGAATTATGATTAGCACCATTTTTATAACTGAGGACACAGGCTCAGAGTGGGAAAGCAACTTGCCCAAACTCACACAGCTAACAGAGATAGAGCCAAGATTTAAACCCAGGCTTTTCCCAGGTTCAAACCCACATCTGTCCCATCACACCCTGCTGCCTCCCCAGCATGCAGCACAAGACAGAGGCACTCTCCCTATGATACCACTGTGAAGTAGGCTGGGCAAAAACGACCACTGCCAGTTTTTAGATGAACAGCAGGGCTCTGAGTGGCTGGGGAGTTGGGCAAAGCCACACGGCAAATGGGCATTAATGGAGCACAGCCCTGGCCAGGATCCACCCACGTGTCTGTCCTGTGTCGGGACCCAGAGTTCTCTCCCTTGCCCTAGCATTTTCCCAACTTTACCAACTGTGATCCAAGTAAGAAATATATTTTACCAGGTGACATACAAAATATTTGACATGCACTAAGGCAAAGGCAGCGGGACCACAGATCTCTGCAGCAGGAACACGGCATTAACTCCTAGGCTGCTGAGTCATGTGACCTCGGAGGAGGAGGGGTCACTCAGGGACTGGAGAGGTGAGGATTTACCAAGTAAGGATAGAAATATCTCAATATTTTAACAACCAGTGAAGCTGTACTGTACCTGAACGGGCTGAATCATAAGCCCTGCCTTTACATCATGACCCAGGATCCTTGCTCATGCACACAACCCCACACGGACAACTGAAACGAAACTTTCAACAAAAGGATTCTTACCCTTACTACATACAATACACTCCAATATCTTCTTTTCTAGTCTATATTTTTTAAATGCCAGTCAAGACGCACAAAAGGATTCCATGACCCACTAACAGGTGGCAACTGCTGCCTGAACATAGTCCTGGAGCCTCCAAGTCTCTCACCTTAAATACTGGGCAATGAGGGCCTCGTAGTCCAGCAGCTCTTCCGGTGGGGGCACAGCGGGCATGGAGCACTGGTGCTGCACGGGGCTGGGCTGGGTCTGCTGGAAGGAGGCCTGGCAGATGAAGATGGGCTTGCCATGCTGCACGGCCTTCACGGAGCGCACCGAGAAGCTGGTCCCTGTTCGCGTCCGCTCCACCTGATACAAAACGGGCACCTTCGGGTCCCCTGCAGGGGGCACAAGGGACACGGAGAGCCTGAGTGAGCCCCACAGGCCCCGTCGTCATTACAGTGGCTGGACAGGCACCTGTGCTACTCATTCTCCATTTATTTTCTGCTTGGTAGCTACTGACTGAGGCCAGGTACTGGGGATACAGAGAGAACACCAGACCCTGTCATGGGGATGTACCCAGTGCAGGTGGAACTTCTGTCAACAGCACAGAACAAAAGGGACGGTGCCAGATTCCCTGCATTCACGTCTCAGCTCCGCCACTCACCAGCTGTGGCACCTTGGGAAAGTCACTTAACCTCTCTTGAGCAGTTCATCCACCTCTAAAATGGGGATCATCATAGTGTTCAGACCTCTCAGGATTTTAATGAGAATTAGTTCATAGTTGTAAAGTAGTCAGAATGCTATCCAGCTCTGTAAGTGTTGGTTAGATAAAATAAACGTTCCCAGCTTTTGTCTTGTTCCACCTCTAACTGGGATCTTGTCATGTGTCTGGTACCATTTTTCTAGCTGTGGTCAGCAAATCTGGCCTGCTGCCTGTTTTCTATTTTTTTATTCTTTCTTTCCCCCCCCCTTTCTGTCTTTCTTTTTATTTTTTTTTAAGAACAAGCAAAGGCTATTTATTCATAGTTTAGTGTAGCAAGGGAGTCAGCCACCATCACTTATGTTCGGTAGAGGCTCGAAGGCAAGCAGAGGAGTGGGAAAGCTTTAGCATGAAAAAAGAGGTTTCAATTATGCCCTGAAAAAAGAGGTTTCAAGTGTCCCCCGATTGGAGGCTGTTGGCACAGGAAAGCTGAGGCAGGCTAACTAGAAGCGGGACATCCTATGTAATTGGTTAGAGATACATGTTTGGCTTTCTGCAGTTGGTCCTCAGTTGGCAGTATGGGCAAAAATTAGGGAAGCTGTCAGTCATTAATCAAGTCCTGGCTGTTTGGGGCTGACTGTTATAGGGGCTGTGGTTTGGCTTCCTGGACTGGCTTGCTATAATAGAAATGGTGGTCTGACTTCCTATAGCCTGACACGTAGACAGTAGGTTGGCTTCCTGTGCTGGTTGCTACCAACTGTGGATCAAGAGTTCTGTTTTTATATATGGTCTGGTCATTGTCTGAATATTCATCCTCTCAGGAAAAGCCTGCTGTTGGTCACTTCATCCTTGATACAAATTGCAGTCACTTGGCCCTTCTCCTTTGGGTGTCCATGCTCCTAATGCAGGATGAAAGGCATTGGCCCCAGGTAGAGGACGATAAGCCCTCAACTAGCAGCAGGTCAGGGAGGATTTTTAGGGAGAGAGAGTCTCTCTGGTGTCTCTGAAGTCCTTCACTATCTCTCTGAGTCAGTCTGACCTTGGAGAACCCTGAGACCTAGGCGATGAGACGTTTTTGGGGATGATTTTCAACTTTCAAATGAAAGAAGCAGGTCTACACAAGTGTTGTTTCCTCCACCCCAATCCAAATGGGGAGCCAAACAGGCACTGCGGGTGCATTCAACAGCAATTAACATCACTAGGAAGCCTTGAGGCCTGGCTGGTTTGCCAGCAGGCTGATATCCGGCATTGTCAAAGGGCTGCCTTTATCAGAATGGGGACTCCTCAAGGTCAAAGGCCTTTGACAAATGCTTTCCAAGAGTCCAGACACTGGAGATAGATACATGTGCAGTCTGATTTCCGGGGCTAGAAAGGAAGTCAACAAACTTAAAAAAAGTTTTCATCCAATCCTCAGTCTGCAGCTAAAATGCCATACTTTCAGTTACTAGTGATTTACCTCCATGCGAATGAGTTCCAGGCCTATTATTACTGGAACACGGTAGGTAGGCTCTGGAGTGAGTGCTCGGTGCTATGTTACTAAGTGTTAGTTACTAAGGTACTATCTTCTCTCATGTTGGTCTCACAATGACTATGCAGAGTGGGTCTTACTCCCCTTATAGGGGTGAGGAAACTGAGGCCACAAAGAACATTTTTGGGGATATAGCCAAGCCCATTTGTTTACATACATCTACGGTTGCTTTTGCCCACAAAACCTAAAATATTTACTATCTGGCCCTTTACAGAATGTTTGCAGACTCCTGCTCCAGCTTCTCCAAGCACTAAACCTGCTAGTTCTCTAGAGAAATACTTTGAAAACAAAAACAAAAAAAAAAACAAACTGACTAACACTCTAAGCTGGGCTTTTAGAAAAAGAATTGATAGGATAAATGGCCAAGAGCCAACACCCCCCTCCCCAGTATCTTTTAATCAAAAATATCATTGGAACATCATCATCGGTTGTAACAACTGATAGACCTGGTAGAGGGCCACATTACAAACTGGTGTCAAAAATAAACAAATAAATTGGGACACTTTTAAAGTGAGTCAGGGCTGCCATCCCAGCGGAACTGCCTTGCACGTCTTATGCCTCAAACCTCTGGAATGTTAAAACGGGGCAGAATAACCATTGGACTGGGCCTAAAGCAACACTGTGCCCCAAAGAAACTGCAGAGATAACAAAAAAGCAGTTATTATGACTACTGGACTGAAAATTTAAAACACTGTTTAGAACTAACATCACTATGTTATGTTACGTGGGCCAATAGAAATGCCTGCCTTCTATTGATGTAATTGTGCCCCTTCCCTTTCTTATAATACCCATTGCGTTTGTCTCCTAATGGGAACACTGTTTGGGCTTCTGCCTGAGTCAGCGCAACCGGAATAGCTTTTCTTTTGATCTCAGATAAACACTTGTGCCTCTCACTTTGAAAGGCCTTTTTATTTTAGGTTAACACTGGTAAGAGAGCTTCCCTTTTTGCCTTGCTTCCAGGAAGCTCAGAACTAACTTTTGTATAAAACTGCAACAATATGCCTTAGCCTAGTTTTTTTACACAATCATTTCCCCAATTCCCATTACTACTAGACTCCTGTCCCTTGACTTTTACTGTAATAGTCCTATAACAGCTGCCAATTATTTTAAGCTGCCTTGAGGCCTTTCAAGAACCAGGTAGGGACATAACTAATCGATTATTTTGAAACAGTAGCATGGGCATAAGTCATTTCTTGCTGCCCCTGGATAGAGAATTTCCAAGGAAGAGGATCCTTCCCCCAGACTCTGGGATGGGCACCCTGGCAGCTCTCCCTTGGTTTGGAATTATCTCCCAAGAGTGAAAGAGAAAAGCACCAAAGGAGGGAAGAATGTGGAGCTTGGAGCTTGCACTCAGGTTCAAATCCTGGCTCCGCCTCACTTAGCATTGCAGGAGAGCTGGTTATCCAAGTATAACCTCTCACAGTCCCTGTTTCCTTACAGGTAAAATGATGGCAGGAATGTGTTTACTTCTGAGGACTAAACAAGGTGGTTGTGTTCTGTATCATGCAAATTTTAATTATTCCTATAAATTCATTATCAAAAAATGATAGTTATCATTTATGTAAAACCTTCAACATACCGATCCTGCACTAGATACTTAATCTGCAAAGACTCAGTGAATTCTTTCAGACACAACATGAAGAAATTGATTCAGGGGGATCAGGTAATGCCCCCACTCCCTCAAAAACAAAACTGTCTCACTAGGTTCGGATTACAATTTCAAAAGGCCAGCACTTTTGGAGATTACAACCAAATTGAAGAAATAAAGGGCACTTTTGCTCTCAATTGGCATAAACGTCGTCAGACCGGGCCTGGGCCCACAGTAAGTATTCAAATACTTTATAGCAATGACTGTCAGGGAGGGGCAGGCAATAAAAAGAGAATAAAACGGGAGTGAGGGGCATGGGGATGTACTATGAAAAGGTATGTATATTTACTATTATAGCTGTTTTATATTTGTCAAATGAAGGGGGAACCCCCACTATTGTTTTCTTAATATGAATCACATATTGTTAAGTTCCATAAATTCATCTCAGCTCATGGGACTATGCAGAAGACAGTGACTCTTAAAGTTGGGGACATCTGCCTTAGGAGCAAGGAGAAGGGAGGGAAAGCAAGTTAGATTTTTGTTTCTCAAAAGAGAGCATGGGTTTTTAAAAAATTGCTCTCTTGTTCCTTAATTTGATCCCAGAGCTATAAGCAGCTGTAGAGATCATCTCTATAAGACACCCTTGGTCCTGCCCTCCTCCATTTTTTTAGGTGGCATGAAGGAATCAAGCCTCAGAGAGGAGGGTAACCTCCCTCAAGGTCGCATGGCGAATTAGTACTGAAACTAGAGCTTCAGTTTCTTAATTCCCAGCCTGGTGCTCTCTTCTCCAAGCCAAGCTGCCTGCCTCCAACCTCCGAGCAGAGATTACAGCACCCCTCTGCGTATCCAGCACAGTACTGAGCACCAGAAGGTGTGAAAAGAATGAAGAACAAAAGACCCAAAGGGAGCAGTTAAGCCTCAAAGTCTGTGTCTTTTGGGGCCAGATAACAAGCCAGTGTAAGGTCTAAGCCTTTTCTTGGTCCCACCCAGGCCTCAGTACCCTCTAGGCTCGCTGAGGGTGGGGATCAACTAACTCTCTCTCCCTCTCCTCCACTGCCCCCCTCCCCATCCTCCTCACATTCTCAGCTCAGTCAGCCCCCCAAAGCCAGGAAGAAGTACCTGCTGGGCCACCAGGGCTGGCTGGGGGAAGGGAGGAGGTGGCTTACCTGCCCGTACAAAATAGCAGTGCAGGGAATGCACGTGAATGTCTTCACTCACAGACTTGGCTGCAGCCACCAGGGCCTGTCCCACGATCTGACCCCCAAATAGCCGCTGGCTTGTGGGTATCCAGTAATGCCTTCCTCTGTGGGGAGAAGGGGAAAGCAGGAAAGATTTGGGGGCTGGGCCAAATCCTACCACCATCAGTGATCCTCTACTGCAGGATCTATTAACCTTATTGGGCTTTGGGAGCCTTTTGAGAATTTGGTGAAAGCCCTGGACCCTTTCCTCAAATATCCTTACATCACTCTGCATACAGCACACATCTATTTTCAAGGCCTTCAGGACTGCCCAGCCCTTCTGTGGATTTTGGTTAAGGATGACAAACCAACCCCTGTATTTTACACTAAGAGAATAGGGATCAGAGAGGGACAGTGACTTGAGCAAGGTCACAAAGCTTAAACATTGCCAATCCTAAGCAGTATCTAAGTCTTTTAACCTCAAGTCCAGTGTTTCTTCCACTGTCCATACCAGGCAGGGTAAGGCAGACGCCACTCAAGGACTTGAGGGACCAAGATGAACCCCAAGGGCTGGGGGTGGACTGCATGAAGGCCTGGCACTTACTCCCCTCAACTGCGACAGCTCCGTTCTTCCAAGGAACTAGATTTAGAGCTCGAAGGGCCCTCAAACTTCAAGTCTAACCCCCTTCAATGTGCAGATAAGAAAACTGAGGCCCCAGGGCCGGCCGAGTGGCTCAGTTGGTTAAGAGCTCGCTCAAGAGTTTGAGCTCTGAGCAACAGCGGTTCGAGTCCAGCCCGAGCTGAGCAGCCGCTGAGCTGCCAACAGGTAGCAGGATGGCTCAGCTAAAAAAAAAAAAAGAAAACTGAGGCCCCAGAGGTGAAAACAGCAACTTGCCCAGTACATGAACCGTATGGAGGCTGAAGGATTTAGGTCTCCAGCTTTCCAAGGCCCAGCACAACCCAAGTTTCGCATTTTTTTAATAATTTATTGCAAACAGTCCTCCAGGAAGTTATCTGTAATTCATTAAGTAGGGAGAAGAGACATTAACACCCAAAATAGCTCCCAATAAGCCAATAGGAGCCTTGTAGGCCAAAACTTAAATCCCCAGCTGCAGGCAAGAACTTAAGTGGCATCGGGAAGGAAAATGGCTCAGGCCTCGGAAGAAATAAGGAGCTACCAGACCCCACTAAGTGGGGGTGGGGGTGGGGTATATAAAAAGAAAAGATAGAGAATATGCAAGGAGCTGAGGATAAGTTTTAAACCTGATCAGGTGTGTGCTCTTGGACAAATCGCCGCCCTTTTTAGGTTGGTTCCCAGAGACATGACTCCTCAAGGGAGGTTGCTGAGAAGGATGTCTCAGGTCACCACTTTATTTGTCCAGACTGCCAGGACCTCCTAGGGTTGGGGCTGCACAGACCCGGCGCGGAGAAGAGAGAAAGCCAGGAGAGCGAGGGCAGCTGTCAAGGACAAGCTCTCTCCCAATCGCGGCAGAGCCTGCATCCAGCGAAGAGCCCATCCTCGTCCAGGAAGCTATGAACAGGAGGCTACAGGGTGGCGGCAGTCGAGATGAGGAGCCTCTGCCCCAATGAAGGATGCGTGCCAGATGCGGCCAGCTACCTGAAGAGATCCTCATCCAGCGGCTCGAGGTTGAGCACGCTGGTGACCAGGACGCTGCGGAGGTCCCCGGAGGGATCGCCGCTGCCCTGCCCATCCTCCGGGGCCTGCGGGGAAGACATGTAGATCACTTGCCTTCCGAACCGGGACACTGCGCTGGTCCGGACACGCGGAAACCGGCATAGAACGCACAGCTTCCGGCAGATTGTCAAAGTAATCGGAAGTCCCTTTCTGGCACTGAGAATGCGGGATGCAGGTTATGATTGGCCGGCGCATCTGTCAGTCTTAGGGAGTGTGGCTCTCTTTCTCTAGCGATTAGAGGGAATGAATGCCAGTCTGGGAATCCCGTGTGTGATTGGATATGACCATGAGGGGGCGTATCCCCGGGACTGGGTAATAAGGACTGAGTTTCATTTCCCTTCTGTCAGATTGCAAAGACGACCCCAGCCCCTTTAGACGGTTTAAGCCTAGGGCTCCTCCTGAGCTCCATAGCAGGCCACTCAATTGGGGCCGACCCTGAAGGCATCCTGAGTCCACGCCAGCCTGTAGACCCTCATTGTGACCTCTGACCCCTGGGGTTGTTATTGGGGCCAGCCCCTGGTGTGGGCTGAGGGAGCGGCCATGGAGCTGGGCAGCTGCTTCAAGACCTACGAGGACTTCAAGAAGTGCTTCAGCGCCTACAAAAAGGAGAACAGGTGCTCCTTCATTCTCAGGGACCGCGTCTCCGTCCGCTTCCACAACCTCAACCATGGCACCTCCATCCGCGAGGACATCCTGTAAGGGCGGGGCGGGGGCGGGGCAGGGGGGTGGAGAGGAGGCTGCACTGTCCCCAGATGGGTGGCCTGGAGGAGGAGGGAATGCAGTTGGGCCCTCATTTCTGTGAGCATTCAACAGACACTCAGTGAGCACCTGCGGGGTGCCTGGGGCAAAGAGAGCAAAACCTCCACAGGCACCAATTTTTGACCACCCACTTCATCTTCATTCACTCACATCCATTCACAGCTTTCCTGAAATTCATAACTTCAGTTTGTCCCATTTTCTGAGCACCTGCAGTATCCCAGACGCAAAATATGGCCTTCACAAATGATAAAAATGCCTTGGCGATCAATTCCTTCATCAGTCACCTCTTCACAAAGCAGTAACGCAGTCAGTTGTTGGTTACTTCATTCATTCAATTATTCGTTTTGTAAATAGTTTTTGAGCACTTGAGATAAACAGCCGTTTTTCAGACACTTTCAGTGCTCTAGGCAGCGTTCTCTCTCATCTGTGCATGCATGACCCCACAGGGCTATATTGAGAGCTGTAGCTAAATGTCATTTTCCCCATTTGGCAGATGAGGAAACAGGCTAGAGGCTAAGAGAAGGGAAGCAGAGAAAGGCTTCGTGCTGGAAGTAATGGTTTCTACTGAGCTGTGAACGAAACAAAGGGCTCGAGTAGGAGTTCAGTGGTTAATTATCAAGTAGCATGAAGGAGTTTGACCAGACAGAGCTGTGCAGACGGAGCTATGGAGCAAAGGTACAGATATGTGAAAGAAGGTGGTATGTTTGAGAAACTGGGGGATGCCATGCTTGGCAGGAGATGAAGTCAGGTGTAGTCTACCTGAAGGGTCTTTAGGTACCATTGTGAGGTGTTAGGACTTTATCCTATGCCAGTAGCATCTTCCTAAGCAGTGAGACTAATACAAAAAAATGTCCTGCAATCGAAATGCTTACAGTCTATGTCAGATAAATGAAGTAGCCTCCCGTGGCCTTCAGGATGTATGAAGTCGAAGACCGTTAACCTGGTTCACCAGACCACCTGACCCTTCTGACCTCTCCATCTTGCACTGTGTCCATCCATATCCGGTCTACTCCACACTCAGCTCATGTCCTAACCCCACAGCTTCCTGGTCTTCATATTTACCACAGCCACTTTACATTTGCCCATCCACATATTTTTAGCTCACTTTTCCTCAAATGTCAGTCATTTGCATTCTATCGTCTCCATGCTACATATTCTATACTACCATTTACTTAACATTTTTAAATTGTTTTAATATTCAAAGGGACCTATTTTAGACCCAATCTAAGCAATAATATGTAAGAAGTAACAGTATAATGGCCCCCCAAATGGCATATATTTATGAATAACTTAAATATTCTTGTGCAAGCTGAGGTCTTTTTGGATCTCTTTTGGTCATTTGGGAAACTCTGTTTTAGCTAATTACTTTTCCTTCAGATTTCAGCACGTTTTCCAGGAAGGCTTTACTTCCCAGAAGATTAGCTTAGATGATGTTCTGTGTTCTGAAGCACCTGTTACAGCTGTCACAGCACCTGTTGCTCCTGTTACAGCATATTGTTTTGGACTACAGTTTACAGAGGATGCCACGGGTTGGCTGAGCTCTTCCCGGGAGGGACCCTGGTTTACTGTTATCTATATTCTCACTGATGATCACAGTGCTACTTGCATAGGATCAAGTCCAAACACCTCATATTTGCACCTACACACCCTTCAGGTGACTATCCCCAGGGTCTAGCACATGGCTTGGTCCATAACAGGCATTAAGTAATTGTTGAATGAATGAGTTATCAAGTGCTAAACATGTGATTCAGGGAAATAGGTAAAAGGACTCAGAAGAGAGAAAAATCAGGTTGCTATTTGCTGCTTTAATATCACCACAAATGTGGTTTAAACTCAAATTTATTATCTGACAGTTCTGCAGGTTAGAAGTCAGACACAGATCTCACTAAAATCTAGAGATCAGCAGGGCTGCATTTCTTTCTGGAATCCCTAGAGGAAAATCCATTTCCTTGTCTTTTCCAACTTCTAGAGTCTGCCCTTGTTACCGCTGATTCAAAAGGGGTCCGCATGCTTGTGGGCATCCAAGCCAAAAGAAAATACCAGCAGGAGTTTGCAGCAAAGAAAGTAAAGGTTTGTTTAAGGAGTTGGCTCCAAGTCCAAGGACCGGTGATCTATTGCCCTCAAAAACCTGGCTCCCCAACGGCCCCTAGTGGCTAGGTTATATAAGGGAAAAATCATTAATCATGGTTACACTATGGGAGTTGGAGCTAAGGGCTCTGCTGATTGGTCAAGGCTAAGGCAGCTGGTGTCAGTCATGGCATTGTTCCACCTGGTTTCCAGGGGATGCGGTCCGTGGGGCCATCCGCTTTCATGAGTCCGGAGCTGAAACATAACTGAGGCCAAGGTGTTAGCTTTGTTTCATTAAAGCCTCTCATTGTGTTTAAGGGCCGGCCAAGTGGCTCAGTTGGTTAAGAGTTCACTCAAGAGTTTGAGCTCTGAGCAACAGCGGTTCGACGCCTGGCCTTAGCTGAGCTGCCAACAGATGGCAGGATGGCTCAGCTACAAAAAACAACAACAAAAAAAAACCACCTCTCATTGTTTGAGGTTTTGTTAAAACCTCATTCATTATCTGAGGTTTAGTTATTATATCCTAGTCATGGTTGATAGACCTGAGGCTTTATTCTTAAATGAATTTGACGTTGACTAGAACCTAATGTCCTCAGGGCTTAATGATTAAAAGGAGTGAATGTACAGTATATGTACAGGTAGGAGGCTCTGGGGACAGAATGCAAAGGTGTCAGTAGTTCTATCAGGCTAAACGATGCTAGCTTGGATTAAAGCAGAATGCATAATGAAGTTCACTTGCCATTACACCCTCATTGTTTAGCTTACGGTAGCCATCATCCTTCTTCAAAGCCAGCAACAGCTGGTTCAGCCCTCATATCACTCTCACCTGTTTCTGTTGTCCCATCTTGCTCTGGCTCCCCTCTTCTGCAGCCTTCTACGTTTAGGATCGCGCCCACTCCGGGTAATCTAAGATAATTTCCCTTTAAAACAAGTCAGCTAATTAGCACCCTTAATCCCACCTGCAATCTTATTTCCCCTTTGCCATGTAACCTATCATAGTCACAGGTCCTAGAGATTAGGAAGTAGACATCTTTGGGGGACCATTTTGCCCACCACAGGAGGGTTAACGTCCAAACCAAGTGAGTTAGTACAGATGATAACAGTATGTACTTAAGGCAGTGAGGAGACCTGCTTAGCTAGAAGGAAGATTGATGCTGGAGCAGTGGGAAAGAAACTTGGAGGGACTCAGATAACAGACTGGAAAGTTGGGGTTAATTTCATTTATTTTTGTTTTTGAAGGTTGAACAACATGAAAAATGAGTTTGTTTTGGGGTCAAGGTAGTCATTTAATTAAAAGATGTTTTTCAAACAGTAAAAAAGGGTCTAAAAGTTAGCATCCTTTCTGCAGAGTTA